GGGCCTGGGTGCTGTCCCTCAGCTCTTCAGCTCAAGGCTAGCGCTCTACCACTTGAGTCACAGCGCCACTTCTGGCTTTTTTCTTTTTGCTTATATGGTGCTGAGGAATCGAACCTAGGTCCTCATGCATGCAAGGCAAGCACTCTACCACTGAGCCACCTTCCCAGCTCCTGCACTGGTAATTCTGTATAGACCTCAAATGAGACTGGAACTATCCAAGTGACCTTTGGCAAAAATCAGGTTCCTGGGGCTGGAAACATGGTTTAGTGGTAGTGCTTGCCTAGCATACATGAAGCCCTAGGTTGGATTCTTCAGTACCACATAAACAGAAAAAGCCAGCTGTGGCTCAAGTGACAATGCTAGCCTTGAGCAAAAGAAGCTCAGGGACAGCGCCCAAGCCCTGAGTTCAAGCCCCAGGACTGGAAAAAATAAAAACAAAATCAGGTTCCTCACCTCTGAAAAAAATACACACCACAATTATACCTACTTGATATTCAAAAAGCAAATTTAGGGAGAATCAAGCCCTTTTATAGATACAAGTTAATAGTGGAAATACCTCCTATAACCTTTGACAAGTAAATAAGCAACCTCTGAAAGACCACAGGCCACTTAGCCAGTCAGTCTATGGTTTCTTGACTGTTTGACTACTCTACACTGATAAAAGAAGATCAAAACAAAAGCATAGAAGGCTATCTGGCATACTGAAAAAGACATACTTACTTGTATTTACTCCCAGTTCTTGGATGTGGCTGAATTTTGCAGCGGTAAAGTGTTGGGTCCCTCAGGCACCCATTGTTACTACTCATGTCAATTTTTGCTCGCAAACAACAGGACTGACCAAACTGAGTTCCTTTTTTCATTTCTTCCCACATTTGTAGATTCTTCTCAATAGCTATAAAGTGACAACTTTATTAGTGGTTATTTAATGTTACTAATGTGGTTAAATTCTAATTACTTTATTATTCTTATAATTTGATATGTTATCATATCATGTTAGCCATATTCCATTAATTTGAAATACTACAATAGCTATGGTGGTGGCTCACACCTGTAATACCAACTATTCAGAGAATCACTGTTGTAGGCCAGCCCCAACAAAAAAGTTAGCAAAACTTATCTGAAAAATAACTAAAACAAAAAGGACTAGGGTGTGGCTCAAGTGGTAAACCACTTGCCTAACAAGTCCAAGGCCCTGAGTTCAAATGAAAGTACTAACAAAGGGGGAAAGAAAACACAACACTTAAAGAATTATACTCTATAAAGATGTTATAGAAAAGGTGAAATCAAGAGTCTACGGATATAGCACCAACCAAGGATACAAGAGAAAGTATATTATCCGAAGGTTTTTCTCATTTGTTGCCATCATTTTATTTCCCTGACATGGTACAACTTATCAGCTCATCTCTTCTCTCCGATAAAATGTTCACCTGGTGCTTCTAAAGAAACATTCTTTTCTTTGGCAACCTTAAGCCTAGGGGTCAGACCAGTTTGTCCTGACCCTGGGGAACCTTAAGTACTGTCACTATAATGTTCATCTAAAGAAAATGAGGTAGATAGACCAGGTGTTGGTGGCTCACACCTGTAATTCTAGCTATTCTCAGGAGGCTGAGATCTGAGGTTGTTTGATCTAAGCTAGTTTGTAGCCAACTCTGGCAGAAAAGTTTATGAAACTCTTATCTTCAATTAACCACCAAAAAGCCAAGGAGCTGTGGCTCAAGTGGAATGTCATACTTGAGCAAAAAAGTTCAGGAACAGGGGGCTGGGAAGGTGGCTCAGTGGTAGAGCGCTTGCCTTGCATGCCTGAGGCCCTGGGTTCGATTCCCAGCACCACATAAGCAAAAAGAAAAAAGCCGGAAGTGGTGCTGTGGCTCAAGTGGTAGAGCGCTAGCCTTGAGCTGAAGAGCTGAGGGACAGCACCCAGGCCCAGAGTTCAGGCCCCACGACCGGACCCAAAAAAAAAAAAAGTTCAGGGACAGGGTCAAGGACCTGATTTCAAGCTCTAGGACCAGCAGAACATGGCATAAGCTAAAAGCATGAGCTGTGGGTTCCTGTAGAGAATAGGAAATTCTTAAATCACAGAAAACAACCTCTTTATCTCAGGTGACTGTGGGTCTACCTATTTCAGCATATTCAGTCTATTCTAAATGAATAAGAAAGAACTGTGAAGCTGGGTGCCAGTGGCTCACACGTGTAGTTCTAGCTACTCAGGAGGCTGAGATATGCAGATTGCAGTTCAAAGCCAGCCCAGGCAAGAAAGTCCTTAAGACTCTAATCTCCAATTAACCATTAGAAAAGCAGAAGTGGCACTGTGGATCAAGTGGTAGAGCACTTGCTTTGAGGTGTAGAGCTCAGGGACAGTGCCCAGGCCCAGAGCTCAAGCCCCATGACCAACATAAATAAATAAATAAAT